TTTAAAAAAATTTTGAAGCTTGATCGAATTTCACCACTTAGTCCAATATCATCTGCTCGCAGCTGAACTAACAATTTGTCTATCGAACAACTTTCTCGCATTTTTAGGCTTGGTCTAATCCAAAAACGTTTATGTTTTCTTTTAGCAACCTGGGATGATGATGAGAGCAAAAAAAACTTGCGGCTAGCAATAAATCTTCAGTTTCATTTTTTCTTGATTAAAACGCCACATGGTTAACCAACATTAATCACAACAACAACGTCTGAACAACGTCACCAACTGAATTTGTTTTTATATTTTGTTGTTCTGGTGTGAACAGTTTGTCTCAATTTTGTTTTGTCTTTTGACGACAAATTTTGTCGTCGTTTTTATCGTGTTTTTGTTTCAGAATTGTGTTTTCATTTTGTCTGCTTGGTCTGGACCCGGCATTACGTTCAGTGCAAACAACGCCTCTCTTGTTCCGAGCCCATTTCGGAATCCAAACTGGGTATTATTGATGTCCATTTCCAGTTTTCTGTGTACTTTAGAGTGTATAATTTTTAGGAATATTGTCAGTACATGGCTCATCAGACTGATTGTACAATAATCACTACATTGTTTGGCATTTATCTTTTTTGGTATAATAACAACGATGGATAAAAGCCATTCTTGTGGTATTTTTCCTGACGTATAAATGCTATTGAAAAGTTCAACTAAAATGTGAATCGAGTCTTTTTCTATTAGTTTAAGGATTTCCGTTGGTATTTCATCTGGACCTGGGGCTTTACCATTTTTCATTCTTTCTAATGTACTATTTTTTGTATTTGTATTTTTTTAATGTACGCACTAAGTACATTACTTTCTCTTCCATTATTTCTGGACCTTCGTCTATCATGATTGTTGTCTATCATCTGCAAAGAGTTCTTCAATATAGTTTTTCCATGTCTTCAACTGTTCTTCTAGTTCTGTTATTATGTTTCCGTTGACATTCAACTGGGTATTTGTCTGCTTACGTTTTTGTATACCTGCAAGTTCTTTCACTTTTTTATGTACATTAAAAATATCATGTTTTGCCTGCAATTGCTCTATTTCTTCACATTTTCTTTTATAAAAATCTTCTTTTGCTATTCTGTTTTCTATTTTGATTTCTTTCTGTATTTGTTTATATCTTTGTTCGTTTATTCCTTTCATTATTCTCCGATTGTCCATGAGAAGAAGAATCTTATCAGTCATCCACCTTTGCTTTCTTTTTGGTTTTTCTTTAGTCAGAATTTTCTTCGCAGGACCTGTTATCGCCATTTTTACGTTTTGCCATTTTTTATCTAGGTTGTTCGTTGGCTGAGATGTTTCTTTTTCATGAAATATTTTCATGAAGTATATTTATTAATACATTTTTGCAGTTTCTCCTTTACCTCCAGGTTACATAAATGACTGACGTCTATCTGATTTGCTCTTCTTTTCTGCTCCAATATTTTTAGTTTAATACTCATTTGCGCTATTAGAGGGTTATGGTCTGAAAAGACATCTGCGCCTGGGTGATCTGCGCCATCTTAAGTGATTTTAAGGAGTTTCTGTATCGTTTGTTTTATCAGTAAAAAATCAATCTGGTTTCGAATTATTCTTTCGCCATTGTCCTGGGGTGATTTCCACGTATAAAGTCTTCTCTTTGGTAAGTTGAAGAGTGTATTAGATACAATCATGTTATTCTCCTGGCAAAAATGAAGTAGTCTGTCACCTCGTTCCTTTCTTTTACCAAGTCCGTTTTCTCCTACATGTTTGTCACGTTTCCTTTTACCAATTTTTGAGTTAAAATCACCTAGAATTACGGTGATGTCTCGTGGTTTCACGATTATAATACTTGATGGATTTCTTAGTAGAATTGTTCAATTTCGTCCTTGGATTTATCTGCAGTAGGTGCATAGATCTGTATGATATTTAGTTTACTTGTATTTGTTTGTAGTTGGAGAAATAAGAGCGGATCTGATACTGAAGTAAAATTAATGACCGACTGCATCATAGACTTAGATACGAAAACTGCTACGCCGTGTCTGTGTTGAGTACTACTGTTTCAGGAGTAATATACCATTTGTTGTCGAAAAACTGTCAGGATTTGGCCACCTTGCCTCACTAATGCCTAGAATGTCGACATTTAATCTTTGCATTTCTTGTATTCCTAACATTCCATGTACCAATTTTAATACTTTCTTGGGTATTTTTCTATTTTTTTAAGAGTGACTTTATTAAGAGTGATTTTATTAAGAAATATGGTACTTCACAGGGATTTTGCTGCTTGAGGACCCGGGACGCCCTGTGGTCTTCTTGTGATATACCTCCCATGCCGGATCCTGGTCTACGATTCCCATGATCACTGGTTGACGTGGCTTTTTTGTTGTACAGTCATGATGATCGTACTAGAGATATCCATGATGGATCTTTAATGTAGTGGTTTCTTCTTGCCTTCTACATCCTTATGCCGTTGACTAGTAAATAGTTCCTCCGCCTTTAGTGCCAATTTCTTGACCCCAGGACAAAAGAGTGCCCTTTCACTTACATACCAACCGAAGTTGGTCAACAAGTGGGGACTGCTTAGTCCAGCAGACACTCGGTCGCCAGAGCCTCGTCAGTTATCTAGCAGGGTGCACCGGATGATTAAGATCAAAATCATCACACGGGCAGGTGAGGTTAACACTTGGATAGGAGAGGCTGTATGATGCGCGTCACTATCCCTTACACCCCTAATCTTCAGCACAACGGATGTTATTTATATTTTCACCATTTGTTTTGATCCCTTCTGTACAGTTTTCAAGTGCTTTTGTAAATAACTCCTCGAAATATATATTAAATAGTAATGATGAAAGTACACAGCCCTGTCTCACTCCTCTACTTATCTGTTGCGCATCCGTGCCATTTCCATCTAATGTTACTACAGCCTGTTGGTTCCAATAGAGATTTTTCACTATGTTAATGTTATTTTTGTCGAGTTCTTTTCTCTTTAGACATTCCATGAGAATGTTATGTTTAACTTTGTTGGAAGCTTTCTCCTAGTCTATAAACGCAACGCAGATATTTTTGTTGGTCTCGACATTTTTGGGCAAGAGTTGTGAAACTATACAGAGCTTCCACTGTTCCGAAGCCATTACGAAAGTCAAACTGTCTATCGCTTATATCCGCTTCGCACTTTCAGATAATATTCTTTTATGTATAATCCTTAAAAATGTTTTTAAGGTTGATCTTCACCCTCGATTAATTTGTTTCTGATCCTAGAAATGGCTCTACTGCGGCATGCTGCTGTGGTAAATTTTTTAACTTAATTGTAGATTTCTACATGACGACTCTGTAATATTTTCAAATCCTAACATAAATTGCAGTTTTCTGTCAGTATATCAATTGGCTGAGTTGCCAAGTTGTATAGACAGTAATTTTATCATGTATGCTATAACTTATATGGTTACTAGTAGACCAACTAAACAAAGATATCTTATAACAACATCTTTATGTATAATACTTTACTGTTCTGCTATGTCAGTCGGAATATAATATACCAAATTCATTCATTATCTAAACAATTTTACCGACAAAGAAATTATGTATGTTCCGGCTTTCTTTGTGAGTATAGTATTACCATTAAATTCGTACATCATTATATTACATTTTTGTTGATAGTTAAAAATTAAAAAATGATCTGGTATTATGATTATGTAATATTTTAGTGGAAAATGACAAAAATGTTATTTAAATCTGTTTATTATTATCTATTACTATATGTCTTTATGGATTAATAAATTTTACTATGTCTCCTTCTTCGGTTATATTTATATTTCTTATTTCATGCTTCATTGTTCTAGTTTTATTGGTCTGTTTATTCGTATAATTTTTCTTTTAATAATTCTTACTTTTTCTTCATCTTTTTTCGTAAGACACATTACTTCCGCTCCTTATGCTATCATCGGTCTAATTGCTGCACTATGTATTTTTGTCTTTGTTTTTTTTTGCTGTTTTTTTATTTTTAAGTAGTGGCTGATATTTCCAAAACACCCCGTTCTTCTCCCGCCTTGTGTGTTTGGTGGCCATACGTTGAATGTATGATTTGGAGTGGTTGATGCGTATTTAGTTATTACGGTTCTATTTGGTCCATTTAGTTCTTCAGTTTCCGTATTCGACAATTTTATAACGCCAAATGAGGACTATGTGAAAGGTGTTATTGCGTATGTGTTTATTGCTTTTACTATGTGCTTGGAATTAAGTTTGCTTTTGAGTATTATCCAGATTTAGCCATACGGCTCACACTCCCTCTAAGAGGAAAATTCACTTTCTGTGCAAACCCGGTAGCTGCCATTCTGTAGGTATATCTTGCATTGCACTTAAATTGTCTTCGTCTATAAGTTTAATCAGCTCAATACAAACTGTATCTGGCCCAGTGCCTCTGCCAGGTTTTGAGTTGTTTATAGCATGTTGGACTTTGGATTTTAATATTAAGGGAGCTTCCTCGTTATCAATTTGTGTTGGTTTCGCTCTTGAGTCCATGAAAAGATCTTCCATATGTTTAGTCATACTTGCTTTATTTCCATTGGGTTATTAATAGGTTTATTGTTGTTTTTGTCAATTAATCGGTTAGGTGTATTTCTTAGTGTAGTGATTTTCCAGATAATTCTGTCAATTTTTTATGTACATTATAATGATCATGCTTTTTCTGCAATTCTTTAGAAAGTACATAATTACGAAAAATAAAATTTGTTTTTTTAGATCTGAAAATATGGTTTATGAAAATTATAGTATATTTAAGGAATATTGTAAAGACATAATAGTATATAGTAAATATAAGTTTAATTATAGTCTTATCCTATATTTTATCTTAATTATCTACTATATTTATAGTACGGTTGCTAACACTGGGCACATACCAAACTCATTTTGTCGTTCTTTGACAAAGTGCGATATTTCCATAGTTTGGATAATCGACTCACAGCGATTCTATTTAGTGTATAGTAGAATAAATATTGATAGTTAATTTACATTTTTAGGGTCTACAATAACTCTTATACCTATTTTCATGAATATTTTGGGTATAACTTATGCAGTGAATCCAAATTGTAATTATAATCAGTATTTAGACGTTGGACAAAAAGTCAGTGTACACAATACACAATATCCCAACCAGTATTCTAGAGGTTACAATTGTAATTGGCAGGCTCAAAGTCCTATTGGATCTAAGATAATCATTTCGTGCGAGGATATTAATTTACCAAGTGTAAGTATAACTAATTAATTTTATATCCTTATTTTATATTGTTTTCAAATTAGTTTTTGCTTCTTCTTTCTTCTTAGGGTGCCTGTCCGTTCCGAATATTGGCGATCATTGTGGCTATGATAACTTTACTGGTTGCTATACGAAATAGCTGTGTTGAGGTCTTTCTATACCATGCTCTCAGGTTAGCAAGCCAGGATATTCTTCTTCGTCCCTTTTTCCTTCAATTTTGCAAAATGCATTGAAGTAGCTCGTATCTGCCTTGATTTCTCATTATATATCCCAAGTACTGCAGTTTACGACCCTTCATACAATGTTGACCAAATCCGCAGTTGTGTTCATTCTCCACAGTACTACTTCATTGGTGACTTTGTCTGTCTTCTGTCTTCTATCTTCAGGATCCTTCTGTATGGCATTAGCTTAGCTTAAAAGCCTTTTAAGAAATTTTAATAGAAGTTCTGCCTTCAATGTCCAAGTTTCTACTCCGTACAGAAGCACTAAGTACACATACCATTTAAGGAGACTTATTTTTGTTTCTAGGGTGAGGTCATGATTCTTGAATACAGAGCTCATAGTCAATGAAGCACTTTTGACTTTCAGATGCAACATTTAATCTCTTGGATATTGTCCCAGGACTCATTAATTATAATTCCCAAGTAGTTGTATTGTGAAACACGTTCAATTCTTATTTGGTTCACATACAGATTTGCTTCCGTTATGTTTCCTTGCTGATGATCATTAGCTTGGTTTTGCTGGTGTTTATATCTAGTCTAGTTTATATCTAGAAGTATTGGCAGATTTATTCAACACGGTGTACGATACGGGAATAATACCACAGGAGTGGCTAAAGTCAGCATTTATAACCATCCCTAAAAAACAAGCAGCAAAAGAGTGCTCTGATTATCGAACACTGAGCCTCATGAGTCATACTTTAAAAGTTCTGCTAAAAATAATACATAAGAGAATATACGAAAGGCTAGAGGAGGATATTAGCGAGACGCAGTTCGGGTTCCGAAATGGAATGGGTACTCGAGAAGGACTATTTGCCATCAACATATTAATTCAGCGATGTCGGGATGTAAATGTTGATCTACACTTGTGCTTCGTTGACTACGAAAAAGCTTTCGATAAAGTAAGACATGAAAAACTAATATCAATACTTATGAACAAGCGCATTGACAGTAAAATCATAAATATAGTGCAAACATTATATTGGAACCAAAGTGCCATAGTTCAAATTGATGGGCAACACTCAGAAGAAATGAGGATCTGTAGCGGAGTTAGACAGGGATGTGTGTTATCACCACTTTTGTTTAACTTATATTCTGAATAAATTTTCCAAAACACGCTCAATAATATCGAAGCAGGAGTCACCGTTAACGGAAAATTAATTAATAATTTAAGATATGCAGACGACACTGTGATCATAACAACGAGTATAGAGGATCTACAACATCTTATCGAAAGCTTGAGTATAAATAGTGCTGAGATGGGAATTAGTATAAACGCTAAAAAAACGAAGTACATGCTGATTACAAAAAGGCCACAAAATATACATCACCTATTGACAATAATGGTAACGTGATAGAACAAGTAGAAAAATATCAGTATTTGGGAACTTTGATCAATGAAACCAATGATCATACTATAGAAATAAACAGATGAATAGAGATTGCCAAATCAGCATTTATACGAATGAAGCCACTCCTAACGTGCAAAAATCTAAATTTGGAGATCAGACTACGTACCATTCGCTGTTATATATTTTCAATATTATTATATGGAGCTGAGACTTGGACATTAAAAAAATGTAATTTAAAAAGAATCGAGGCCTTCGAACTCTGGTTATACCGCAGATTATTGAAAATATCATGGACTGATATAATTACAAATAAAGAAGTACTGGAGAGGGTTGGTAAAGAAACAGAACTAATCACCACTATACAAACCAGAAAACTGGAATACCTAGGCCACGTGATGAGGGGACCAAAATATGAAATTTTGAGACTGATAATACAGGGAAAGATTCAAGGAAGAAGATCTGTTGGCCGAAGGCAGAACTCATGGTTAAAGAATCTACGTGATTGGTACCAATGCAGATCGATTGATTTGTTTAGAGCAGCAAGTTCTAAAATAAAAATAGCCATTATGATTGCCAACCTCCGTAGGGACACGGCACTCTAAGAATAAGAATCTAGTCCATATGTTCTACTTGTTTCCCTTCTTGACCCGTGTTGTTAATTAAGTTTTGCAGCCCTTTTATGGTATTGGAAAACACTATTGTTCAACTGAATACCGCAGATTATTAAGCTTGACTCCATTTATTGAGATGCCTTCACCAATATCTTTTAGAGCCTCTTCAAAAATGTGCTCCAAGTACAGATTAAATATCAGTGGTGAAATTATGCACAGCTGTCTCACCCCTTAAGATTTTGACCTGATCTGTATATTTTCCATCTATTAGGAGCATCGCTGATTAATTTCAATTCGGATTAGCTATTATTTGTAAGTCTTTTCCGTCAATACCTGTTGTCTTTAGCACTTCCATCATTTGTTCATGCCTGCCTCTATCGAAAGCCTTCTTGTAGTCAATCAGGCATGCAAAAACATTACAGCTGACATCTTTTCATTACCTGCATGCTAGATAAAGCTTCCCTCGTACCAACGGCGTTCACAAATCCAAACTGATTGGGCGTAATTTGTTCTTCACATTTCTGGTAAACTCTTTTGTGGATAACTTTTAAAAACAGCTTCAACAGGTGGCTCATTAGGCTTATGGTCCTATAATCTTCACAATCATTTGCTTCTGGTTTTTTGGAAAATGGTACGAACTCCGATTTGAGCCACTCTACTGGTATTTTTCCTGCCTTGTATATTTCATTAAATATTTCAGTTATTATTTTTATTTGTTTTGCATCTAAAAGCTTCAACAGTTTTATCAAGTCCCGGTGCCTTTCGATCCTTTGTTTATCTGACGGCTACCGTTATTTCTTCTGGTAGGATTTCGGGACCTGAATCTTCTTCAATGGTGAGCTCTTGTATTGTTTTAAGGTCATGGAAAAGTTTCTCCAAGTATTCTTCCCATTCTTTCTTTTCATCTTCTTTGGTTATGGCAAGATTGCCTTCATCATCTGTTATTTTTTCGCTGTTGCGTTTTCGAAACTTTCCAGCTATTTCCTTCACCTTTCGATAAACATTGAAGTTATCATATCGACTCTGATACTCCTCTATTTCTTGACATTGTTCTGTTTTTGTTTCTTTTTGGTTTCTCTTATTTTCTTCTGACTATGGTATGTATTCACTTATATTCTTGGAGATTTTCTTTGTTTTTTTCTCTGATCAATAAGTTCAAGTATTTCTTCGGCATCCACGATTTTCGTTTCTCTAATCTTTCTTCAGGTGTTGTCCTTTTATTTCTCTTACTGATTCTTGTATGATGATCAGATTTTCCTCTATAGTTCCTCCATTTTTGTATTTTAGCACCTTTGTATTGAGGTTTTCACTCATCTTTAGTCGAACATTGGGATCTTTCAGTTTTCTAACATCATACTTCTTCATTAACTTATTTGTAACCTTCTTCATTCTCACTTTGAAATTACCTACAACTGGTACATGATCGGAATTTATGCCCCTGGGTATGTTTTGACATATGTACAGCTGTTCATATACCTCTTATTTACTAGCATGTAATCAATCTGATTTCTTACAATCCTTTCCACAGAATTCTGTAGAGATTTCTAGATGTACAGTTTCCTTGAGTGTAGCTTGAACCAGGTGCTCATTATTACTAATTGATTTGCTTCCGCAAAAATCTCCAATGTATCTCCCCGATCGTTCCGGTTTCCTAGATCAAATGGTCCAACTGCAGATGATGTTTTGCAGGCCTCAACTTTGGCGTTGAAGTCACCCATAACAATTATTAGGTCGTGATTTTTCAACCTTTTTATGACAAACTTTTTTCTTAATACGAGTATTACAGCCAAACATAATATCGGGTGTTCCCATGGACGTATAAATAAAGATGGACTAGCCATGCCCTGCACTCTGTTCACCTAAATTTGAAGTCGAAAAGTATATAGGCGCGGGGAAAGAGACGAGGTGATAGACTGTGACATTACCTTTTAAGCCAGCGGCGTACCTTCCTAAATTTGAAAGTTATTTGAAACAGTTTTTTCACTTAATGAATAAATAATGACTATTGGTTTGACTTTTGCTTTAGCTTGCTTTTATTTTTAGTATCGTAAACATATGAAATATTTCGAATAAGTGAGAAACAACAAACGGTGAATAATTTTAATTTTCAGTGTATAGAAATATATTTATAAAAATTAATTTACACAAAAGAATAAAGATGGAGTAAATAAAATCGTAAATCTACTTTATATAATATTTTATTTAACACTATCACCCAAGCAATAAAAAGTTTAAAAAATTCTTCCCCAAACATTAACCTGTTCAGGGTATTGAGTATGTTCTGCTCTTATCCAGTGAGTGATAAGTTGAAAAAATATAGTCAAATATGGTGTATAACTCCAGCTTAATTGTTAGTTAGCAACATTAGTATGTCACGTTAGACATAGCAGTAGACAGAAGAAAGAGAAAAATTCAGGAATATGTATTTAAGAAAATATAAATAAACGTAATAAAACCATAAACCATTGTTTAACAAAACATAAACAACAAACCACATATACAACAATATAAAAAAACACATTAAACCTTATGGAACGGGTAGGGTTCTAAAATAGAAATATGCTTTATTGTCACTGAAAATTATACAATGCTTACAAAAAGTAAAAAAAAAAACAACAATGACAATTAAAATTTACTAAAATTACAAAAATCGTCAATATCACAAAATAAAAGATAGTAAAATATACAATTCATTGCAAAATCTAATTGTTGCGTAATAAAACCCTACGAAATAGTTTACGAATAACTTTTAGTTGCTGCATGTGATACACATATATATATATAATATATATATATATATATATATATATGATTTCAGATGTTTTCTGGTTTTGACTCCGCATTAAATAGTTTTGGTTTTTCTAAATCTATATATATATATATATATATATATAATATATATATATATATATATATATATATATATATATATATATCATCGGAAAAGGAGTACGACCGTCAATCCAATATAAATAAGGATCGCTCAGACGAGTGGTGGGTTCTGATATCGGTCTCAAGGTGGAGAAATAAAAGACAATGTTGATAGGCTACTTTATCTATTTTGAAGACGTTTCACTTTCGTATTCTGAAAAAGCATCATCAGTTCATCTAAAAAGTACAATATAAGAAACACACAATCATGGAAACGATGTTAACAATTATAACATATAGTTAATAACAAAAATAGTTTTATAGTAACAAAATAGTTTCTAGAATATACGAAGAGGGAAGAGTAAAAATCCCGTGATATTTGAAGTAGCTTCTACAATGTGTTATTCTTTTGAGTCCAAGAAGATACCGTATTGCTCTTTTTTGTAATTTAAAAATAACATTTGATTGGGCAGCTGTACTAGAACAGCAAAAAGGAAGGCCGTATCGAAGATGAGGCTCGAACAAAGAAAAATATGGAATACTAATATGGATATTGCAAGATGCTAAATTTATTTCCTCTAAAACAGATCTTATTGCATAGCAGGCTGAGACTAATTTATTACTTAACAAATTGATATAAAGGAACCATTTAAGGTTGTTGTCTGTAAAAATACCATGAAATTTTACAGAATCAACGATAAAGATCCGGCTATTATTAAGAAGCAAGGGTTGAAGAGCTCCTTTATAGGATAATGCTACTGTCTTATTCACGCTAATAGATAGTAAATCAGAGTCGGACCAGGTATTTATTTTAAGTTGATCAGAAGTTATAATTGCATGAAGAGTTGCAATATTAGAGTTCCTCTAGGTAATACTGGTATCATCAGCAGAAAGAAAAATTCATCGCTGCTAGACATGTCTTCAACGGTTTTATTTCTAAAACATATACTTAATTAGATAATCATAATCCTTGTTTTTATAAATTAAACTAAAAACTCACTTTTTATAATTATTACGTGGAACATATGAAAAAGTATTATCACCAAGTAACAACTCTACAGTTTCAGTTTCTGATGTTGTAATGGTGCTCGAAGATGCGTTTTCTGTATCTATATTTTCCTTGTTGACTTCATTGTCATTTAAATATCTAGAATATTCAATTTATGTACATTAAAGAAGAGTATTAAAATTGGTTTAAGATTGAAATAATGTCATACAAAATATAGCCAAAACTCACCTCCTTTTTAACAGTTTAGGAGAATTAGATTTTACATTAAAGCCCAAGTCTGTCTCCATATTACATTCTTCAGTATCAATAAAACTTCTAAAATATTTTAGTATTAAAATAAAATAAGTAATCAAAATCCACATTTAGATTTTATTTGTAAATTTAATAAACAAATTCGATACAAACCCACCCTTTTGAAGGTCCATAAAAATCATCCTTATCAATACTACTGGAAGCTGTTGCTTTATTTTCCATATCGTTTGTAGAACTAAAACATTGAATTATTAAACAAAAAGGAAAAAAACACGCTATCAATATTATGGAATATGCTACAAGTATGCATTATATTTGGTTAAATTTAATTTTCGTACAATGGACATAACCTATAGATGTGTATATATTTCATTGAAATTAATATATTTATAGCAATTATAGTGTAGATTAGAAAAAATAAATAAATGTATTTATAATACTACAAAATTAAACTTCAATTCATGTCAAGCATTAAGTATTATCACATCCCTGTACTACGCCTATGGACAAAATTCCAATGTTTACAAACCTTACGAATGAAATGACAGTTCTGGATGTAAACATGAAGTTTTTCCTGCATACAACACAGTTACGCACCATTATGACACTTAACTATAAACTATTCTTCACTTCTAATTTAAAATATATTAACAAATTCACTAAAATGTCACAAATAAGGAAATTATCAACTCAAAGGTAAACAATACAACGCCATGTTCTTTTTCGTCAAATCGCTAGGATTGGTTGATATTACCGACGATGCCAAGTTTTACAAATTTAAGATTATCAGAATATATTTGCTTTTAATAAATTAAAAATTTATTTTTTTTTAATTCCTTGGTTGCGAAATTAGTATATCTAAAAATAGTTTATACTAACTAGATAATACATTTTTACTTATAGATTTAAAATAAATTACACTAAAAATCGAAAATTATTTCGAAGATTGACTCTGAAAAAAAATAATATGACAACGTTAAATTAGGGATTTGTGCCTATGACTGTGAATATCTCATGACTTCAAGTATGTAAACAGACCGGTCCATCTTTATTTATACGTCCATGGGTGTTCCAGAAGAAGCGGGACGATCGAATATTTCGGCAAAATTTAAATCGAATAAAAAAATTGAAAAGCACGTGTTCAGTATTTTTTTAATAATCTATCGAATGACACTAAACTCGTCCTACCATCAGCAGAAATAACGTGAAGAAGGAGAACTGGTAGCCCGTTAAATCAAAATCTAAAGGAACGAAAGTTATTTATGTCATTTTTACACCTGTATACACGGCATTTATGTTTGAAATTAAAATGTATTTATAATTTGAAAAGTTTAGACTACAATATTAACTACTTTTTATTATTTTTTAGACCCGACAATGTTCTGGGGACAAGCTTAAAATATCACTTACCGGAGATAATTCATTTTCAGATTCAAAAAATTATTGCGGTGCTGGAAAACTTTCACTTGTAGCTCAAGCAAATCGAGTAGCAATTGGTAAGAATATATCAAATTAATTTGATCTTCTACTGAGTGTCTTCTGACTGTTTTGTATGGTCTAACTTTTTGACTGCTATCGTGTATATTTTATTTATTTTATTTATGTCTCAACTTCTAAGAAGCATTGACATCATTATGATTAAGCGTTTGCATAACATTACATAACTGTTTTTGTACAACATTTATGGAAAATGAATTTGAAATAAAATGTCTTATAAAAAATTCTATTAGTGACTATAGTCTTTAAGGTACCCATTATTAAGTTCGTATTGCAATCTCTCTATAGTTTTTATAGTTATTTTCTTGTGGCATTTTAAATGAATTACTATTTAACTGGGAATAAACCACAATTAAAGATAAAAAACATTTATTGACGTTTCAATTTCCACTTCGGAAATCGTTCTCAAAAATGTAAAATAAATGTATTTTTATCTTTAATTGTGGCTTATTCCCAGTTAAATAGTAATTGATCTTGCATTATGTTGCCCAATTATTATTCCTTATCGAAAGTGGACAGTTCTGAATAACTTACTAGGCAATGACCACTTTTCTATTCTTCTTCTTAAGGTGCCGTGTATTTCTGCGTAGGCGTCCACCGTACATCGTCTTGTTAGGTGAGATATTAAATAGTCAAATAATTCTGTTTTTAGCAGCATTGCTAAGCATTTCATAGCTGTGGATTCCTGTCCATTGTCGAATATTGCGCAGCCATGACATTTTTTTACGTCCCAGACCTCTCCTACCCTCTATCTTCCCTTTGAGTATCAGTTCCTGAAAAGTGTATCTTTCTCCTCGTAATATGTGCCCCAAGTATGCAGTTTTCTTACTTTTTACATAACTAAAAAGTTCCCTATCCTGTAAGCCCGCTCTTCTGAGTACTTCCTCATTTCTGACCCTGTCCGTCCATGATATTCTAAACATTCGACGCAGGCACCACATTTCAAACACTTCAAGTTTGTTAATGGAACTGGCCTTGAACGTCCATGCTTCCATTCCGTACAAGAGAACAGGCCACACGTAACACTTAAGCATCTTGTAGCGGAGGTTGAAGTCCAATTTGCAGTCAGAAATTTACGAAGCCCCAAAAAGCATTTCTGGCTTGTTCAACTCCACTCTTTATTTCATTCTTGGGGTCAACCCTCGATCAGCAAACAACCCAAGTATTTAATTTGCCTGACCTCTTCGATTTCTTTTCCAGAGATATATATCTTGGCGTTGGGCTAATCATTTCTACTTATAATCATTGTTTTTGTCTTCTTGATATTTATTTTCAACTTCAAGCTTCACTTGCAAGAATTAGATCATTTAAAAGGCATTGAAAATCTTCGATGTTATCTACCATTATGGCTGTATCATCGGCATACCTGATGTTATTAATAAATATGCCGTTAAATTTAATACCCTTATTAGAGTCTGCCACTGCTTCTGCGTATAAATTGAACAGCATTGGAGACAGTATACAATCTTGCCTTACTCCTTTTTTAATGGGGAAATCTTCTGTTTCGTTGAAATTTTGAAGACATACTGTTGCTGTCTGGTTCCAATACAGATTGGCGATAATTCTTATATCCTTGGTATCCAATCCCAACTCTTGTAGGTATTTTATTATCAATTCATGTTTTACATTATCGAATGCTTCCATTAACAATAACAATAAAACATGTAGTAACAGAACGAAGTAAATTTGACGCTTACAAACAATCAATACCTGAATATTCAAATAATGTGAAAGACATTCTTAACCTTCAAAGTGACTCTAAATCTCTTTTCAAATTACTTAACAAATGTAACTTAACAAGTAAGATATAATGTACTTAAAGATATACTTTGTATACCTATTGTATTTTCCTAGTGTTGTTATTAGATGGCGTTGTAACGTATGTAAATAATTATTTCGATAATTATTGTCCTACGACGGGGTAGATTTTGTTTCAATCAATCAATCAATCAATATTCTTTATTTCATCTGATTTTTACAAGTATTGAAATGCGTCAAAATACAATCTAAAAAAACATAGGTACATAGGTAGTAAAAAAAGTAAAAACTATAAGCACATAAAAACATAAAATATACACAAAAACATACAAATTGTTAAAAAGATGCCTGCAAGTATTCCTCTAACGAATAGAAAGTGTTTACCAGAAGTAAGTCCTTAACTGTTCGTTTAAATACATAAATATTTGGCTCTTTAACATAATTAGGTAATTCATTATACAAACTAACGCATGTTGGGTAGGGACCCTTGCCCACAACGGTCAAGTGACGAGCAGGGGTCACCAAATCATTTCTGTAACGAAAATTGTAGCCACTCAATAAGGAAACATCATTTCTGCAAATAAAATTACATCTATGTGACTTTACATAAACAACATAACTGAAAATATACAACGAAATTACAGTTAAAATATTGAATTGTTGAAAAACTGGTCTACAGGAATCCAAGCTCCTTCTAAACGTCATGGTATGAATAATTTTTTTTGAAGAACAAGCACCTCATTAATTCGCGAGCAATTTCCCCAACAAACTAAGCAATATTGCAAAATTGACTGTACATGGGCAAAATTGTATAGTTTTAAGATATCTAGGGAGACAAAATTCCTAAGTTGCCATATAACATAACAGTGCACAGACAATCTTCCCACTATATAATCAACGTGAGAACTCCAAGATAAATTAGAATCCGGGTAAACACCTAACAACTTAGTGGAGTGGCTATTTACCACAGACCCATTGTCAAGCTTTACTATTGGACTCATCTGCATAGTAGAAGGTGAAAAGGTTACCATGTTGGTCTTTGATCCATTTAAGATTAGGGCATTATTTAAACAGTAATGAGTCATACTTTTTGCAAGACAGTTTGCTTTTTGTACTACATGAAAAAATATTGGAATTTAGTGCAACTGTGGTATCGTCAGCAAATTGACTGACATAACAGCCTGATTGCTGTTCCAAGTTTTCCACTCGAACTCTTATTGCATCAGAAAAATTATCTAATGGATTCCGAACCAAACATGTTGAGCTATCGTTTATCAGTAGATTTAAATCAATGACGAAAATCAAAAATAAAAGAGGGCCAATGATACTTCCCTGTGGAACTCCGGAGTAGACACTTTCTTCTGAAGAAAATATTATATTTCCATTCACATTGACCTTAATTTTTTAAAACCTTTTCGATAAAAAGGTTTGGATCCACTTAAACGCAGTTCCTCTTACACCACTATGATAAAGTTTTTCCAGCAGTATTGGATGATTTACAGTTTCAAAAGCTCGTGCTAAGTCAGAAAACAAACAGATAACTTTATTACCCTTATCAAAGTTCGATAAAATATGATTGCACAGCGCTAGTAGTGCATCTTGCACACTTATACCTTCACAGAAACCAAATTCAGACTTTTCTATAATGTTGTGCCTTTTAATATAAGAGAGGAGACGTATATAAAATGCCTTCTCATATATTTTTAAAAACACAGATAAAAGTGATAGGCTTCGATAGTTATCAAATTTTGATTTGTCACCTTTTTTATGTATAGGCACAATTAAAGCAGTATTTAGAATTTGAGGAAAAATCCCTTCCTGAAATGAAAGGCTTACTAGAAATGTTAATTGTTTATATATGTTATCAGATACATGTAATAACATAAAATACGGGATCTCATCCAGTCCAGCCGAGGATTTTTGTGAGATATCTTTAATTATACTCTTTATTTCTTCATTACTAAAAGGATAAAGGAAAAAGGAGTGTATAGGCGAAGAAAGATTCTTAGGATCAAGTCAGGTGAATTTTGACTAATTAAATTTTTTTGTCATGAGGGTCATCCACAGGAATTCCCAAATTATTTTTAAATTTACTTTGGTATGAAGAGTTTCGATTTTTACCTTCGACAGTGTTTCGATTCAGAGCAACAGCATATTCGTTCTGATGAGACCTAAAAAGGTCGAAATATGAATAAGCGGCTTGCTGTGACCCTGCATCGCAATTACAATCTAATACCGTCGTTATGTTCTATAGTATTTTCTTTACCTAGCTAATGATCTTCGTGGTCAATGCGGTTATTTTCTATAATTACTTCTAATATTATTACTATTATAGAAAAAATTATCTAAAATTTAACTAATTTATTTTAGAAATAGTATCAACAGTTGTTTCACAAGGAGGAAGATTTATTTGTACATTAACTGCAGTCAAAGTTAATAAACCTGAACCAGAACCTCAGGGTTTGACAAATTGTGACTGTGGATGGAAAAGAGGAGTAAGTACTAGATCTCAAGTTGGATTAAATTTAAAAAGTAAAATAATCTATATACAGGTTACGCAATTGAACTGTTACCTATTCAAACGACTATAATTTTTTTGTGTGAATTTATTTTTTATTGATTCAAATGACAAAAATATGTGAAAATATTCAAAACTTCAGAATCCACTCATTTTAGCTCGATGTGGCCAACTTTTGCCTTGACTATGGCCTCCAAACGATCAAAAAACGAGTTGCATGCTGCACGAATGTGATCTTCCGGTATTTTCGCCCGTTCACGTATAATTGCTTTCTTCAGCGCATCCATACTGGCATATTTTTTAGTCCTCATCTTGCTCTCCAAAATGGACCAGACGGAATAGTCCATCGAATTTGCATCTGAGGAATTCGAAAGCCATTGTGTGGATGAAATGAAGTGTGGAATATGGTTGTTAAGGATACTTAAGCAGTCTCTAAAACATTTTCCCCATAATAAGTTGCATTGACTTTGACACCAGTTTCAATAAAAACGATTGGAGAGCGTCCATCGGCGGTTACAGCTGCCCATATCATTACATGACATGGGAAATTACGTCGGGTGGCCGTTCGTAAGCTCAAACTTTCATAGGTGCTTTCGGTAAAGTAAACATGATCATTTGCCAGGAAAAGCAAATCACCTTCTACAGAGTCGGCAAAGGAAACCAACGATTTCCCCGAATGATAAAGGTAGTGATGGGTTCGGAATACCACGTTAAAGATATTCTGAGAAATAAAGCCAAACTTCTGGAAAACAAAGCCAAGGAAAAATTCTCAATAATTGACGACAAGACGCCCATCCAATAAGTACGTTTAAAAAAACTCCGAAGTGAGCTAGAAACTCGCAAAAATAACGGTGAACATGATTTAACTATTAAATACATCAATGGCACTCCCAGAATCACGAAATTTCGTTCATAATTTTTCTACCAACAAATTTAATGACTGACTATTTCTATATACTAATTTAGATTCACTTTCCGCTAAGTTTGACGAATTTGTATGCACAGTGCAACTTCTTAAACCGGACATTATCTGTATTGCCGAATCCTGGCTCAAACCCACAATTCCTGACTCCTCTGTTAATATAAATGGATATACAATATATCGTAAAGACAGAGAAAATCGTGTGGGTGGCGGTGTATGCATTTATTTATCCAATAGTATTACCACAACTTTCAAAATTAACCTTAAGCTAATAGATATTACTGGAATAGATGCAATTCACTTATCTGTTACTAAAAATTCTTTTTGCCTTAATCTAGTATGTATATATCGTCCACCTAATACACTACTTGCACACGATAATGATTTCTTCACAAAACTTGAAGAACTATCATCTCTTGATAATCTTATCATTACTGGAGATTTTAATTTCCCAGAGATCACCTGGCCAATAACTTCATTTTCTGACGCCGAAAACGCTCATAATTTATTTAAAAGCTTTGTAGTAAATTCAAACCTGATACAACTCATTACAGAACCTACTAGATTTAGGAATAATAACCAACCTTCTACTTTAGATCTAGTGCTTATTAATGACGAACAGCTGATTTCATTTCTCGAAGTCAGTTCTCCCATAGGAAAGTCAGATCATGCAGTTATAACGGCTCACATCCAGTTCAATCAAATATTACCCCGCAAAAATAACATTGTAACATATGCTACTACCGACTTTTCTGAAGTTGACACTGAACTCTCTCAAATCGACTGGCATTTATTTTTTGCAGACTTAAACGACCCCTCATTAATGTGGACTGCATTTCTCGATAAACTCCACAATATAATTTCTACAAATACTATTTTCCGTAAGAGTTATAAAAACAACCTCAAACCCTGGATAAATCGAACAGCAATTAAACAAATTAATCACAAACGACATCTATGGCGAAAATTTAAACACACCGGGCTTCTTAGTGATTTCCAAAACCACCGCAGATTTTGAAATAACTTAAAAACATCTCTATAAACCCTAAGACAAAATTTTGAAGCAAACGTTATTGAAAGTGGTAGCATTAAAAAAGTCTATAAATACATACGTTCCTCCATGACATCTAAAGTTTCCATTCCGCTACTTCGAAAATCCAACCAGACTATACGCTCTTCTGACAAAGAATCTTCCGAAACTCTCTCTTTAGCATTTTCACAGGTTTTTACTAAAGAATTAAATGATGGTTATCTACCTGCTGTTAACTGTAATCGTGTCGGCGCATCCTTACAGCAAGTTGAATTCACAGTGGATCATGTCAAACAACACTTAATTAAACTTCGCACGGCCGATTTACCTGGTTTAGATGGTTTAATACCAAAACTGTTAAAAAGGTGCACAGACACGCTTGGAATACCCCTAATATACTAACCTAACAATACCTAACCTAACCTAACCTAACCTTAACGTTAATTATGCAAACCTCTTTCATCCAAAACTCTTTACCCCCTAGTTGGAAATTAGCTTCCGTTACCCCTATTTTAAAAAAAGGCAACAAACTCGACCCCAACAATTATCATCCGATTAGCTTGCTGCCAGTAGTTGCCAAAGTTATTGAAGCCATTATTTCCGAGGAGATGACCAAATTCCTTCTCCAGGAACATGTTATTCCAACACAACAGCATGGATTTGTCTCTGGTCGCTCTACTCTAACCAATCTCCTACATTGTGTTAACGACTGAACCTCATCCCTTAACAGTTCGCAGCCGGTCGACGTTGTTTATCTAGATTTTTCTAAAGCCTTTGACCGTGTACCTAAGCGCAGACTTCTACATAAGCTAGAACATTTCGGAGTTCGCGGTACTTTACTTCGTTGGATAGATGATTTCCTGACAGATCGATATTACAAAGTTAGAGTTGGCGAATCTTTCTCACAGGACAGGTTAGTGGAAAGTGGAGTGCCTCAGGGTTCTGTCCGTGGACCTCTGCTTTTTACAGTTTACACCAGCGATATTCCTTATTATGTCTCAAGTAAAATATCGTTTTACGCTGACGACACAAAAATATATGCCAGTCCAAACACAAACCAGCTAACCCTCCAAATGGACTTGGACTCTATTTTAAGTTGGTGTTCCCAGTGGTTACTACCCTTAAACGCGGAAAAATGTGTAATGCTTTGAATTGGCAAAAATAACCCACTTGTGCCGTACTTTGTTAACGGGCAGCCATTAGAATCTGTGTTTTCGTATAACGATCTTGGTGTTATTGTGAACAGCAGCCTAACTTGGTCCGATCATATTACCTCTTTTGTAAGTGTGCAAACTCCAGACTGTATCTTATTCGGAGGTGTTTTTCGGGAGTTTCAATGCAATCATTTTGCAAACTTTACACTCTGTACGTAAGACCCATACTTGAATACTCTGGACTAACGTGGTATCCCGATCTGGTTCGAGACAAGAATCTGTTGGAAAACGTTCAAAGAAAAGCCACTCGAATTTCTTTGGGACCGAGAAGACCGTATTATGCAGAAAGACTTAGTATGGCTAACCTAACTACTTTTGAACTTCGCCGACAACGTGGAGACTTAATTACAACATTCAAAATACTAAAATTCAATTTTGGAAACCTCGATGAAATATTTATCATAAACCAAGATGAACGCCTCAGAGGTCATCCATATAAACTAAAGAAAGAAAATTTTTCTATAAGACAAAGACAGAACTTTCTTCCAAATAGAGTTTTTGAGTGCTGGAATAACCTCAACGATAACATTGTCTCCGCTTCCTCTACCAACTCGTTCAAAAACAGACTCGACAGTTTTATATTATAGTTAAAATATTGTTTTTCCTTTAAACCAAAAATTGTAATTTTATTTCTTTTAGTTGTAATTTTTGTTATTTACTAGTAGGTGATAAATGAAATTTCTTTGTTTTTGGGCATAATAGGGACTTACTTCCTCTGCCCTCGCTTATATAATAATAATAATAATAATAATAATTTTGATAGTTTATAAACTGCTCAATAGGGGAAATCAATCAGAGAACAATATGTTCGGAATTTCGCCACATTCGTGCAGGCGTAACAACTCCTTTGCTCCTTCAAGCCGAACTTTTTTTTGCTTTGGTGTAAGATTCTGTGCTTATTAAAACTTGTAAGACTTGACCTTGAGCTCCTTTTTCAATATTCGTTGCAGTTGCACGCATCGCTGGGACATTTTTAGTTCTTTGGTCATTTGATTACCACTACGACGTGGATTTCGCTCAAGTCGAGCCTTCACTTTCCGACTCATTTCAGGTAATGTTACTGTTTTTTTTCGTCCACCACCATAGCGTTTGGTAATGCTAGCAGTATTATTATAACGGGTTATGGTGCGATACACAAACATTTTATTCACTTTGAGATGTTTGAGCTGACAAACAATAGTTGGTTGTAATTTTTCAGCCAAATAGAACGCAATCACACTATTACGTTTAAATTCCATTGCGAAACTTTTGTTGTATGTATAAAACTTAAATGCAAATTTTTGACGGGTTATAAACAATATACTAAAATGTTATTAGGCCAACTTTGACGCAGTCCAATTGCGTAACCTTGTACATTTATTTATTGTAAATAAATTTAATTCTTATATACGCTATTCCACTAATAACCCTACGTGGTTGATGTGTATGTATTGTATGTTTTAAATAACATATATATCAAAATCAAAATCATTAAAAAATATTATTTCACTCAAATCTTACATATGCCTTTCAGGGGTGACATTCGTTTTGAATCCAATTAATTTACAGTACTCGCGCAAAGGCTATAGCGGGATAAGATGGTCAAAAGTGCGCTCGCGCCGATCAGCATTGCGACTTATGCTTTAATAAAGCATATAAAAACATGACTTAATACAAATTTTTATCTTCCTAGGGCCCATAGAACCTCTTAAATCTAAAAAAGAAGCTTTTTTCGACTTAATTTTTTCTGGACACAATTTTGCTTAAAAAAATCTGAAGAAATTCATCTGAAATTCATATATCTTTCGAACACAAAATAGCCTGACTTTTTT